ACAAACTCTTCCCAAGTTGAACATTATAGAGATAAAAATTTAGTACAGGGTTTCCCCCTAAAGATGGCTAACTCTTCATTTGCCAGTGAGAAGGGTGGGAAATAAGACTGTTCCATAATGTTAGAAATGAGTGCTTTGCAGTTCCATCTTAGGGCTGGTTGATGTTCTGAGCAGTATCTAAACAGAAGAGTGAAAGAGCTATGGACAAGGAGAGAGAAAGAGAGAAGAGGCAGGGTGGAGGCAACAATAACTGAGGTAAAGGCGATCAGCACACTTGAGTGGACAGTGTCTCTTGGATCAAGGGCATTGTGACCTTCCTCGGAATGGCTGACCGGCTGGCCACCACTCTGTGTGGCTCTTAAGTCATCCATCACTAAGGGGTTTCCATGCAGGGAAAGTTCTGAAAACTACCACTCAGAGAGGGTTCTCATAGTCCTTACAGATCAGCGCTCAGTGTTTCTGGGACAAATGGATGGTGGAGATGAATGTTGGGTCATTGGGACATTGGGGCGATGAGGTGGCTCAGGCAGAAGTGGGCAATTTAAAGAGCCGGAGGCAGCAAGGCCTTCTCAGACTGTCCTCTGGGTTTTCTGGCTGGGCAGCCTAGCTCTCAGCTAGTCCAGGTATGACTCAAGGAGGTATTAACTATGGCGGCTCTCAGCCTGGACCACGGAATCAGATTCTGCATTTCATTTGAGCAAGATCCTGGAAGATTCATGTCCTTGTGTTGAAGGGTGTGAAGGGTGGTTTCTTTCTTACAGTCTTCAAAATTCTGTAACTCAGAATTTGAAGCTAGGATTTGCTATTTGGAATCATTCCATGACTTTGATTCTACCCACTTCTGATTTTCAACTCCCATGAAGAAATAAGTAATGAAAGGTAGTGTGTGTGGGGGGGTTTCTTGTAATTTGACCATAAACTGAGCTTTTTACTCTGAAAAATGTAGTCCAGTGATTCCTTCAGTCAGTGTTTGCTAGCTAGCCTGTGCCAGTTTCCTGAGGTGAGCTCCAGATAAGGATAGTGGTAGCTCTGGGCAGGTAGCCTCCAGTAGGGATACTGTGTTCACAAAAGTGACAAGATTTTTTTTTCTGTGGCAACACAGTTTGAAGTCTAAAAGGGCTTGGTTTGATGAGTCCGGCCAGCTGTGGGTCACTGTACTGGACCATAAAATGCTTCATTTTCTCCACTTTGGGTAAGATTTGAGATGGCCTCTTTTCCTGTTTGGTTCTGAATGAAAGGTAAGGCCTTGGAGAAATGTTTGTTTTCTCATTGCCTGGTTTTCTGGGTCAAGGTTAGTGAGGTCTTGACCCTTTTGCATTTGTTCAGCAGCCTCTGAGTCCTGGGGAAGGAATTCCGGTCTGGCCAGGGAATCGAATTCTCTTCAGGTTCTCTTAGTCCGTATAGATCAGTTGGCAAAGTTTCTTAGACAAATGGTGGATATGAATGGAAAGATTTTTGGATTTGAATGAAAAGACTTAACAAATCTTTGTCGCCTCCAAGTTGTTGAGAGAATCCCTTTTCTTGGATAAGAGGAGAGGTTTTTTTCTGGATAAGAGGGTCCTGTGTGCTCCTCTCTGGTCTTGAGGGCAGTGTCATTGAGGGCAATATTTTTGTCTTTTTTTATTTTTAAGATTTGTTTATTTATTCATACAAGAGCTGGGTTGTAGGCCAGAGTGCAGGAGGGTGAAAAGATTCACCAGAGACAGAGCAAGGAGTAGAATAGGTGGACTGACTGAAATGCACTGAGGTGAGACAGGAGAGGTCTGTTATACTATGTAGGTCAGCTCCCCATGGGGATCGAACTCACGCTGCAGTGGCTGCTGATACCTTCATAGTGCTGAGACTTAACCCCTTGCACCAGCAGCGAGGCCCAGCAATGTTTTTGAACAGTGGTGGAAAAGAGTACCTTTTTTGATTTTTATAGATGGCAGTTGAGTTTCTGCATGAACTGAATGTTCCATTTTTCAAAGTTGGATCTGGGGACACTAACAATTTTCCTTATCTGGAAAAGACAGCCAAAAAAGGTGAGTGTTTAATTTTTGTTCTGAGAAAGCCCAAATTGTCTTTTGCTCCCTTCGTAACTACTCAAGGCGTCTCATAAAGAGGGACTTTGGAAACCACTTTAATCAGCAAATACTTCTATGTTTCCATGTGCTGACTTAAAGCGATTAAGGATAAGACAACTTCATAAGCTTTTCTTTAGTTAAAATGATTTAATTTATAAAAAAAATCAAATTGACAGTATTATATCAAAGTTCCTTGAGGCTGTGCTCCGAGAATTATCATGTAGGCATAATATCGAATGTCTGCACATGACAGTTTTGTAGAGTGCTTTTACAACACGAGCAAATTGCTTTTGACCCTAACACTTGGGGGGGACGAAAGCAGGTGATAGGATTATGAAACTTTATACTTTCTACCAGGAAGTGACAGCTCTGGGTCTCACATTCACTCACACTCTTGAACCTGGGATGGGTGCTCACCCTACCGCACCGTGCAACTTCTTAATCATTTGACTAAGTACCCATCTTTCTCTGGGGACTATGAAATCCCTCTGCTTCCTCAGTTCAGTTCACTAGCTAAATGATAACTTGGGAGGGTGAAGGGAGTTCCATCTCCCATGGTTGAGGGCAAAAACTGGCTGACCTCCCTTGTGTTCCCCCACACTGGCTGGCACAGTGTTTAAAAGGAGCCTGTGGAGGCTCAGCTGAAGTTGACACATACTTGTGGGAGTTGGAAGATGACGGTATCAGTGTTGGGTCCCGCAGGCCGTCCGATGGTGATCTCCAGTGGGATGCAGTCAATGGACACCATGAAGCAAGTCTATCAGATCGTGAAGCCCCTCAACCCCAACTTCTGCTTCCTCCAGTGCACCAGTGCCTACCCGCTCCTGCCTGAGGATGTCAACCTGCGTGTCATCTCGGTGAGCAGGAGGCAGGGCCCTGGTCTCAACAGGCCACTGCAGAATGCTCTGCTGGGGCCATTTGCTGTGGGGAAAGGGTATCCTTTTTTTTTTTTTT